TCATAGCATGTGTAGTACTTGTCATAGCATGTGTAGTGAGTTATCATAACCATGTGTAGAAATAGCAATAAGCTACCTGTACCCATGTGTAGTGAGTTGTCATAGCATGTGTAGTGAGTTGTCATATACTGTCCCTTGGAATTAAAAACACATGTGCTGCCAAATTAAAAGCTGGTTCACAAAAGTAGTTTCACAAAAATATCAGTTATTGTACAAAACATCAGTGGAGCACAACATCATATTTGATTCTATCCAACCTTACTTAAAAAAAAAATACAGTGAAACAAAGCAAACAATGAACCAAAATGTGAACTTCATATATGTGAACTTCCTCTCCAAATTCAATTTCTTGTTCTGCTGATGATTTTTCCTCTCCAATTCTTCAATTTCCTTGTTCTGGTCATGATTTTTCCTCTCTAATTCTTCAATTTTCTTCTTCAACTGCTGCAACTTGTTTTTTTTAATCTGAAGCTTTTCATTGAGTTCTTTTCAACAATATCCTTGCATTTTAATTATTCCTCCAACAAATTTTTTTGATTCTTCAACTTCAAAACAGACTGGCTCAAATTTGTTCCTCCAACAAATTTTTAACAACTTTCGACCTATCAACTTGTGTGGGGTGGTGTATAAGGTAATTGCTAAGATTCTTGCCAACAGGTTGAAGAATTGTCTAGATTGTTGTATCAGTCAAGCACAAGCAGCCTTCATTCCAGGCAGACAGCTTATGGATAATGTAGTCATTGCCCAGGAGATATTCCACTTCCTCAACAGACATAGAACTGGAAAGAACTGCTTCATGGCTCTAAAGCTGGACATGCTTAAAGCTTATGACCGTGTGGAGTGGGGAGGTGTTTGTAAAACTATGCTGAAAATGGGATTTGAGCCAGTCTTTGTCAAGTGGATTTATGCTTGTATCTCTTCACCAACCCTTTCTTTCCTGATAAATGGTCAACCCAGAGGCTACCTAACCCCTTCTAGAGGACTCAGACAGGGAGACCCAATTTCCCCCTATCTATTTTTGATTGTTTCTGAGGTGCTGTCATCATTGATAAGAGGAGCAGTTAGCACTGGGGACTTTAAAGGAATCAGAATTGCAAGGACAGGACCAACTCTAACCCATCTGCTATTTGCAGATGATACTCTTATATTCTGTAAAGCTGATATCAGACAAGTGGGAGTGCTGAGGGACATCCTTCACTTGTATCACAAGTTTTCAGGCCAAAGGGTGAATTTGAACAAGTCTACAGCCTTTTTCAGCAAAAATACACACCCTCAAATGAAGTCTGCATTGTGTACACTCCTTCAGGGAATTGAAGAGCATAACTCAACCAGGTACCTTGGACTGCCCCTGGGGATTGGGAAATCAAAAAAAGAGACTTTTGACTATCTTATAGAGGCAGTGAAAAAGAAGATGGTGAGTTGGAAGAACAGATTCTTATCTACTGCGGGGAAAGAGGTGTTGGTAAGAGCAGTGATCAATGCCCTACCAGTTTTCACCATGTCTTGTTTTAGGTTGCCTAAGGGGATATGTGAGGAGCTGAGCAGGGTTACAGTAGCCTTTTGGTGGAGTAAGGGGGAGAACATGGAGAGTGGAATACATTGGAGGAAATGGAGTATGCTGGCTCAAACAAAAAGCAGTGGTGGGTTGGGGTTTCAAGACTATAAGGTGTTTAATGAGGCTCTCCTTTTGAAACAACTTTGGAGGATTACCACATTGCCTAATCTGTTAGTGAGCAAAGTGCTGAAAACCAGGTACTATCCAGCCACTTCCATCTTTGAGCTTAAAAAGAGCCAATCTGCTTCTTGGCTTTGGAACAATTGGGTGGAGATCATACCAGCTTTTGCTCAAGGTCTGAAAAGAGAGATTGGGGATGGTAAGCTTACCAAGATCCAGGATAGTTGTTGGGTACCAAAGTTGAAACACAAATGCCCTACTTTGTTGAACACTGGAAATGGGTCTCCTATATGGGTCAGTGAGCTGTTGAAAGATGATGGCAATAGCTGGGATGAGGAGTTGATTAACCAATTGTTCAGTGACAGTGATAGAGATGCTATTCTGGAAATTAAATCCCTTGCACCTGAGCAGCAAGACAGATGGAGATGGTCTTTTGAGAGGAATGGTAACTTCTCGGTTGCTAGTTCTTATAGCCATCTGTTAACTCAGAAAATTCTGCTAATGGATGTGGCAGAGGGGAGCAGATCAGCTTTGAGTGATAAGAAAGCTAGAGATAGAACCTGGAAGCTGAATGTTAAAGGGAAGATTAAGCACTTCCTATGGAAGTGTTTTACAGGGACATTACCTGTAGGCATTAATGTGGCAAAAAAGGGTGTACAAGTAGATACAACCTGCAAGATGTGTGGGGAGAAGCCGGAGTCCATTGAACATCTTCTCCTATCCTGCAACAGAGCAAGAAAAATCTGGAAAATGTCACCATTAGCATGGGAGGAGAAGACTTTGTGTGCACCATCTTTCAAAATGTGGTGGTGGGATATCTGTGACTTAGAGAAATCTGACATAGCCGAGGATCGCATGCAATTATCTACGTATATCTTATGGTGGTTATGGCGATCCCGAAACTTATGGATCTTTGAGCAGGTGTGGATGCCGGAAGAGGTTGTGGTTCGAGGGGCGTGGAGAGAATGGCAGGAATTTGTGTCGGTTAAGAATTAGTTGCTTGTGTTTTTAGTTTTCGGTCGTGTGTTTTTTTCTTGTGTTGTTTGTGGCTTGTGTAGTGGCTTGTAGTAGGGTTATCGAGGGAAAGTTTCGGTGGTTGTATCCCCGCTTTTTCTTGTATTTGTTTTGGTTTTTCTCTAGATCTCTCTTTGAGTGTATCTCCCACTGTAGTTGTACTCTATCGAACTTTGTTCGGGTTTTCCGTTTTATTATACTTCTATCGTTGGAAAAAAAAAAGAAATTGTGGTAATTCAGCATCATGCCAAACGAAAAATTTACAATCACGTGCCTGCAATATGTCAATAACAATGTTTAAATTCATTTCTCAATTTTCAATTTTGCAGCACAATAAATTGGAACCCTAATTCCCAATTCAGTGTTGAAAGTAATTCAAATACTACATAACCAATCTAATTTTTTTCAAATAAGGAATTAAATGCTTACAGTATTTCTGTGAGAACATCGATGATACCTCTTAGTCGGATTCGTATCGGTGTTCGAGGTCAAGAAATCTGGTTGGACTCTGTGCAAGCACTGAAGCCCGTCAACTGGAGGGTCCAAATTTGAAGTTGAACCACGACCTCCACTACCACACGATCCACACGACATCTTCAGAGTAGCCGAATTCTTTGAAAAGTATCAGTACGTGTTCTACAAAAATGAGAAAGGAGAAACTAGGGTTCTTAGTCGATTTGGGATTTTCTCATTAATTTGGTTGATTTTATGGCATAAATCGGATTTTTATACACATATACAAGATGATGTGGCATTTTCTTTTTCTCGTTTTTTTTTTTGTTTGGACTTCCACGTGTGTTTTATGCGTCCCACGTAAGTTTCTGACGATGCCAAATTCACACAAGAGAATACAATGCCAAATTTCTAGTACATAACAGGTTGATAAGGAACATATACCTGTGTGAGTTTGATTTCTTGCCTCTCAAACACAAGGACAGTGCACAAAAGAATAAACTACAACCTCAGTCCTGAGACTTCACACGCACAAAAGAATAAACTACAACCTCAGTCCAGAGATAAGGCAGGAGAGAGAGAGAGAGAGAGGGAGAGAGAGAGATAAAGAGAGAGAGAGAGAGAGAGAATACCTTTTGTTTGTTTGAGCCTTGTGGTTTAGGTAGCTCAATTTCTGGGGCTTTACGTCTCTTCTTCTCATGACTAAGAACAACAACACATTTACATATGTAATGTAAACATATGAATGAACTTTCATGCATACATTGAAGTACAAATGCTCAAAAAACAATTATACAAGATCTAAAGAAATCATGACAAAAAGAACCACAAATACATAGGCTAAATGTTAATTTCGACTATGCTGAACCAGATAGTAGAAAACATCAATCTCGTTTTCTGAACCAGATAGTAGAAAACATCAATCTCGCGTTCCCTTCTCAATTCTGCATATATCCTTTTCAATTTGTTTGCATCAAACAATTTCGACACACAACAGAAAAGGGCAAAATACCAAATTGTAAAAAATTAAAAAACCCTAATTACCAGGATGTCAAAAATTCATTGCAATTGAAACAAATTCGTTGAGTAATTTCGGCGAACTCAAGCAACTTAGTAAAATCGAACACCATTTAGTAAAATCGGAACTAATCCAAAGTGAACTCACAAAACAGGGCCCGAACCTCACACCACACCCTTCTTTGGAGGTCGATGTCGTCCACGTCCGAATTCCGGTCGGGGAGGGTTGTCGTCGGGTCCAATGTCTCGTCTACGCTCACCACTCCTTCGAATTAGTGCTCGGCACTCCTGAGAAGAAAGGCTCGTCAATGTTCAAAAAAATGGAGAGGTTCTTCTTCATAAGTCACCGTGCACTAATATCATAAAATGCAGAAGGGTATATTAGGGTTTTCCAGTCATTATCCCTCATTTAATCCAGTGAAGTAAATAAGGGATTCGTTTATCAAAAATCCATCCCTCAAAGTAAACATTGGACTAAACGATGACATGTAAAGTTAAGCAGATTATTTAGTCTTATCCCATCCATCAAAGTAAACGAGCCCTGATTGATCAATTATTGTTAAAAGAATTAAAGTATTTAAAATTGTTGATTGAGACAAATAAGAAAATTTAGTGGCAGTAATTTTTTCTACAATTTAGGCTACAAGCTCTGTTATTTATCATTACGAAATTGGGCCTTCGTGAAGGTTATGGATTCGTTACTACTTGAGAATAGTAGAAAAGGTGTGAAAATTGGTAATAAAAGAATTGAGGTATAAATTAATCAATACATTTAAGTTCAAAACATGCTTGATATGTAGTTACATCGAGAAAGACACTGTAACCCAGAGAAATTAAAAAAAAAAAAAAAGAATAAAAAAAGGTCCAACCTGCTAAAACCACAACTTCCAATCTCCATGACAAAATGAAAAGTAAAGAATGCAACCTTCAAGGTAGAGGGCAACTCACATAAACATTAGCATAATTCATGTTGTTTTATTACTACGTAGACTCTATTGCTTACGTACGTTCAGGATGGCGTGGAACGGTTATCAGCCTGACATCATCAATCACTGGCCCACACAGTGAACCCGAGTTGTCACTCTTCATATGATAATATTCACTGAGGAACCTTATCCTAGTGTGTCGTGATATGGCTTTAAACCTAAGCCGTGCACGTTTGAAACCTCCGGCACCCTTGGACTCGTAAGGAACTTGTTCAGTCTCTTTGCCTGCGGTGGCCTCAACCATCATCCACCCCTCGCAACTATTCTTAGCGTCTCCCACCAAGAATATTAAATCGTATATTTTTCCGGGATGGGTTTTGACTGTCTGTGCTATAGCGCTTTCCCTCCCGGCCACTAGTTCAACTGCTCGTTTGCCGTTGGGCACCCTAAAGTGATCGGAATCGATGTATTTCACGACTTTTAAGGACTCGATCATCCATCCAGGCAAGGGAGAGTGGTCATCCTCAATGTTGGGTGGGATTAGAACACCCCAACTAGTGTTGGGGAAGATGTATGGGCCTTGTTCAAAGTTGCCATTTTTCAACAAATTGCCTATATAATATAAATATAAAACCAAGAAAAGGAGAACAAAGCAAAAGGCATTAATTAGTTGGATTCTTGGGATGCAATATAGACAGGGAATGACTACAGTCCCGTTACAGAATCATTCCGTAAGTGTTTTCAACCATCAGATACACATGCAGATTGGTGTAGTGTAGATAATCTGCGGTTAAAAAACTGACGGAATGATTTTGCAACTGGACTACAGTCATTCCCATAAAGACAAGACACGTGAAAACAAATAATGTCACCTCTTTGCATTTTAGGGGCATATAGAGCCTTGAGTGCGACTGAATCGATGAGTGGACCGCAGGCTGGGTCTTTGTCGAGTCCTGGATTATGGATCACAATCTCAACCTCGTCCGATTAAGCCAAGAAGCCCCAACAATATGAATCCCACCCATCACTACTATAGACTGTTTGGATAGGCAAAATTCCCCAGTCCTTAGGTTCTGGATTTGGTGCGACCGACACATTCAATTTCTCCTCTTGTGCACAAGTCCTTGATGCACTAAAGGATATTGAATAGAAGATACCATTCTTGACCTTGAGCTTGGTCTTGATGGAAGCATTGTCCCCTAAGCGCACAGCCGAAGCCCCCTCAGGAACCACTAGAAGCATGTCTCCTTGTTTTTGGCTCGATTTTATGTACTCGACGTAACCGGAGGTCTCCCAATGGGGTATGGCATGAGGGTCTATCACCTTGTTGCCCTTCATCTGGGATGGCTTTGGACCATACTCGAAGTTGCCATTCGGCACTTGTCCTAAAAAAAAAAAAAATACAATTTTTTTTTTTATATACAGGTAAGTACGGACAAAGAAGGACTAGTTCTATATACAGGTAAGTCCAAGATCCTAAGGGGAATACCTCGAGGAATGAGGTCGAGACGAGGAGACTCCTTAACGTGGGAAGATTCGGGATCTTCAGTCAAGACACCCGACATCCACGCTTGTCTATAAGCATCTTGATCGATGCCGAAAGAAGAAACATCCGAATGAGAATTCGGAGACTGATCGGCTGGTTTGAAGCCGACTATTTGTACCGAATCAGATGACTGAGCGCCTGCGTCGATCAAGCGTTCGACAGTATCGGGTGAAGAGTCGGGATCAGAATCTAGAAAAAGAAATGAAAGAAAAATCGATTAGGCGAAAAGAAGTCAGCATGAAGCAAGAGTTAACACAAGTCGACTCGAGGAAATCATCACAAGTCGAGCCAGAAGAATAGAAGGGAAGCGACGAGAAAATGGATTCGAGATAGATGGAACCACGGAATGATGCTCGACTTAGCGAAGACGAGAAGGGCATAGTGCATGTCGACGCATCTAGCATAAAACGACTTAAAGAAAAACCCGACTCACGCGATAAAAACCGAGGGGGGCAAGGCGGTGGCAAACAGAAAACCCAAGAAAATCTCTAAGTGAAGAAGATCTAACCCAAAGAATCGCACAAAAGGATAAGAACATGAAGAACATGCAAGGGCGCTCCAGATCAGAAAAACCCAGAAAAGTGCAAAAAATCGTGAAAAATCAAGAAAAAAAAGAAGAGAGCAAAAAGTACAAAGAGCGTAATACTTACACATGATTGTCGCTGAAAGCCTTGAAGCTTGCGGTTACCGGAGAATGGATTGCCGATGAAGCTCGAAAGCACTTTATTGCCGGAGAGATTCGAAAGCTCAGAAGAGTTTGAGAAGGAAGTGAAAAGTGATTTAGGACCGATGGGGAAGATATTTATACAGGATAAAGGAGGATCTTAGCCTTTAGATTCAATTGGAATCAACGGTTCGGATGAGTCGCGGAATTCGAGGCGGCGGACTTAAAGTGATGTGATAACTACGAATTTGAAATTCGAAATTTGAAAAGATGTCAGGTTGTCAGAACTATCCAGAAGACAATGATGAGACCACTACAGCATCGAACAGCCACAAGGGTAGAGCTTTGATGTCGAGGAACAAAGAACGAGTATAGTTAATAAAAGAAGTCGATTACCAAATTTACTCTTAAACAGTCGACTGTTTAGAGTAATTTTCGGGGGGGACTAGATGATACAGTCACATAAGAATAACCCGGTCTATGAGGCTTTCTACTCGACTGGTGAGCCACTTGAATGACTCACATATCGAGGTGACTCGTCGACATGCTCAAGTCGACTTCCCTGAAGTCGATTCTACCGAAAACAATCAAGAAGAGGCAAAAATTGGTCTAGTCGACCTCTAACTATCGACTTTTGCTAGTCGACCTCATACTGGAGGGACATCAAGAATGCAACTCCCAACCATCCAGATACTCTAGGTCGACTTCCTCATGACGACTCTCTGAGAGACGACCACCGCAGGGAATTAAACCAGGTGTAGCCTCCGAAACCGCATATATTCGTAAGTCGACCTCCTAGTTCTCGAGGTCGACTCTGTACATCTCGAGGATCAAAGTGGTGAAGACGATTCACCACACTTGCAACATATCCAAAGTCCTACACATTACCAAGGATAAGAAGGAATCTTGCAATGACTCAGCAACAAGGGGAGACGAATCGACCAGGGTATTTTGGACCTTCTAGGTCCACCGACCTGGGCATTTTGGGCACTTCAAGTAAGTATTCACTCCTATATAAAAGAGACAAGGTAACCCAAACCCTAACTCTAATTCATTCCCATTCTCCCCCATAGCTGCTGCGCAGCATCTCTTCATCATTCTCATACTGACTTGAGCGTCGGAGGCTCTACGCCGAAAACACCTCCGACGTTGAGTTTTTGCAGGAATCTCGCGGTCTAGTGACGGTTGGGAAGCGGTTCAAGCATATCTGAGCTCACAACAACCGGTTTACTCCAGATCTGGAAGTAGACCCATCACTCGGATTTGAGAAAAAACTTGGAAAATATTTAAAATGGCTAAAATTTGGGTTCGGCACGAAAAATAAATCAACAACTTGAAAAGGGGTTGAACAACTCGAAAACGGACGAGTGAAACACAAAAACAAAGTTGATGAAAATTGAATAGTTATTTTATGCGCAGTTTCCGTATAACGAACACAATTTTTGATGTAAAAACAATTTTGGACTGATTCTTGAAAATATGGAAAGCCAAGAAACAGGACTACATTTCTCATGAAGGCCTTGAATGCAAACGAGCAGGTTAAGGGGATGAAAACTGGACAAACTGAAGCTACAAGCTGGCCAACTCTCAAGCTACAAGCAGTGATTGTATTTCGAACGTATCTTTTTATACAAAACTGATATTAGAATGATTTTTGTGCCCTTAGAAACAAAAGAGGAAAAAACAATTCATTTGAAGACAATAATGTCCGGTCACAAAAAGAGGTTCAAAACAGCCATGTAATACAAACTGCAAGTAACATCGAATGATCAGAAAAACTGAACGCGCAATAATCAACATGGGCCATAACTTCCATTTAAAAATGATAAACACCTGATTCTTGTTTCAGAGAAAACAAAAGAGACTGAACTTCAAATCACATTAAGAGTTCGAAACCATTCGACTGGGTTTTAGAGGGTAAAAACAGTGATGAAACAACAAGCATTACAAGGGTCTCATAAAGGGTTTTCAAGGCTGCTCAAACAACACAAGATTGAACGGCAACACGACGATGGTTTGGTGATTAAACCGAGGCTCGTTTTCAAAAAAACGAGGCTCAGTTTTCACGACAATAAAGGCACTTACAGAGTTTCAAATCCACAATAATCACAAGGGGACTAAAAACTTTAAGATCTAAACATTTTCTTCAAAAATATCACTAGATCTTAATTTTTGAGAATTAGATCCAACTTCAACCTTATGGATCTATAAGAAAACACAAAGAATCAAATAATATATGAGCGGATCGGATCAATACCAGCCTTCGGAAATCTACAAGTGAAAAGGAGACTAGATTGGAAGAAAAGCGGCCTCGGGCGATGGCGTGGACGGCTCGCGTGGATCGGCGGCATGCTCGGGGACGTGCGTGATTGAAGGTTCGCTGTGGGTGGACGTGGGAGGAAGTTCTTTGATCGTGGCCTAGCATGGAGGACGCCGTTAGGCGAGGCGAGCGGCTGGGGCGTGCGATGGTCTCGCGGGAGTGCACTGGCTAAAGAATGATAAACACCTGATTCTTGTTCCAGAGGAAACAAAAGAGACTGAGCTTCAAATCACATGAAGATTTCAAAACCATGCAACTGCGCTTTAGAGGGTAAAAACAGCGACTAAACAACAAGCATTACAAGGGTTTCATATAGGGTTTTCAAGGCTCAAACAACACAAGATTGAACAGCAACACGATGATGGTTCGCAGATTAAACGAGGCTCATTTTCGACAAAACGAGGCTCGGTTTTCACGACAATGAAGGCACTTAGAGAGTTCCAAATCCACAATAATCACAAGGGGACTCAAAACTTTAAGATCTAAACATTTTTTTCAGAAATATCACTAGATCTTAATTTTTGAGAATTAGATCCAACTCCAACCTTATGGATCCATAAGAAAACACAAAGAATCAAATAATATATGAGGGGATCGGATCACTACCAGCCTTCGAGAATCTACAAGTGAAAAGGAGACGGATCGGAAGAAAGGCGGCCTCGGGTGATGGCGTGGACGGGTCGCATGGATCGGCGGCCTGCTCGAGGACGTGCGTGATTGAAGGCTCGCTGTCCGTGTACGTGGGAGGAGGTTCGTCGATTGGCCTGGCATGGAGAACCCTGCTGGGCGAGGCGACTGGCTGGGGCGTGCGGTGGTCTCGTGGGAGTGCACCGGCGGCTGGAATGTCGAGGGGAATAACCGAGGCTTTAAGTGGAGATCTTTTGGTGTTTGAGGGGAAAATTTTGTTCTCCATTGCTGCTAAAAAATGTGGGGTGAGAAGGGAGGAATGAATGAGGGAAAGTCATTGATTTTTCTTTGAATAAAGGGTTACCATTTGATCAAAAATCAATACCATAATTGAAACACATCAAGGCACTTAAATGAAGAATTATGGTTGCTCAAAAGGAAGAAATAATGGCTGAAAAATCCTTACCAAACATAAGCCACGAATTTGAAATTTGAAATGCCAAAGAGGTGCCAAAATCCAAAGACAATGGCCGAAAAATTGGAATATAAGGGGACGGGTTTTCTACAACATTTCAGGCCGGTTTATCAACAAGAAAGGGCTGAAACTTGAACATTTTAGGGCCGAGAAATAAACCTCTAAGGTCCGGATATAATGCACCAAAAATGGGTCGAAACGGGTCAAAAATAATTCTACGCGATTGAACTACGAATTTCCGAATGATTCGACGAGCGAATATAAATCGAACAACGACGGCGAATGGTTTACGATTGACGAGAATAATAAATTAATCGACTTATTAGATTAATTAGGCGAACCCATCCAATTAATCATAATAAGCTTAAACGAAGGTTAAAGAATTGGAAAAGACTTAAGCAGACGATCACGCCTACAAAATTATTCGACTTAAATTAACAAAACGATTATTTCCAATTCATTGTCAGGAGCTCAAACGAGGATTTTCCGAGCAAAACACCTAGGAGGCGGAAAACCTAAAATACGCTAACTCGTCTAAAACGAATGGGGCGCTACAGGCGTGCTCGACAGTGCTCAAGTGATGCGCCCATGGGCTTGGAGCTGGTCCTCT